CGGGCTGGCCCCTAATTTAATTTTTAATTATGGTAAAATACACGTAAGGTACAATTTACTGTCTTAACCATTTTTAAGTGTACAGTTCAGAAGTATTACATATGTTCCCATTGTTGTGGAGCCATCATGCCCACGCATCCCCAGGCCTTTTCATCTTCCCAAACTGAAACTCTGGCCCCATGAAGCAACAGCTCCTCATGCCCCTCCTCCCCCAGCCCCTGGCGGCCACCGGTCTACTCTCCTTCTCTATGAATCTGACCGCTTTAGGCTCCTTGTGTAAGCAGAATCGCACGACATTTGTCTTTTTGTGACCGGCTTAGTTCATATTGTGATGTCCTCAAGGTTCAGCCATGTTGTAGCCTGTGTCAGAATTTCCTTCCTTTTTAAGGCCGAATAACACGCCCCTGTATGCATAGTCCTCACAATTTTTAACCACAGGGTCTCGCAGAGCGGTCGGACTCATCTGGTCCTCAGTTTCCCCGTGTCTCTAGTGTGGGGGTGAGCTAGATGATGTTCACAGCCTCTTCTCCCCTCTGCAGCCTTGGTTCTGTGAGGTAATTTATTTCTCTTGCCCTCTGAGTCTGGGTTTTGCAGGCCAGGGGTGTCATTATCGGTGGCTTTCTTGGGGGCTCACCCATAGCAGGTGCCACCTAGCAGGTGTCAGCTGCCTCATCCCAGGGGCACTCCTTCATCCTGCAGGTGACGTCTTATCCTGGAGTCACAGACCCTTTAACTCCCCCTTTGATGCTTACCTTGGAGCGAGGCCTTACTGGGGGCAAGAATCAGCCTGCGACACGGTAAGCCCACCTTTGGCGTGTTGGCCTGACACGGGGCCGGCTGCCTAGGGCTGAGCCTGAGGACCGTGGCCCCTTCGGGGTCCCCGCCAGCCCACAGCCCCATGAAGTGCTCTCAGATCTCCAGCACCTGGGCTCCCCAGCCCCTTGCAGCCCCTCTGCAAGTGTTCTGGTGCGGGGCCCTCTAATTTCAGTCTTCTCTCCTTTTAACATTCATTTAAAATTAAAATTACGGTTCTGAGTTTTAAAAAAATTCATATTTGTTGTAGAAAAATGAGAAAAATTCTAGAAAAGACAAAGAGAGGACAAGCTTCAGTCTGCCCACTGCTGAGGGGGTTTGCCATTCTTTCTGTTTTGATCTCTTCACCCATGAGCTCCCCTTTGGAGGGGAGGAGGGCCTCCCCCAGGGGGTGGGTGCCGGCCCTCGGGATGGCTCCCAGCGCTAGTGCACAGGCACAGTCCTGGCAATGACCGTGCCTTCTCACAGAGCCCTGACTGCTGTCATTGTGCCGCTGTGTCTGTGTGAGAGCCACCAGGGGAAGCGGGACAGTCGGGACCCGGGAAGTGACCCAATGTGACTCACTGTTGCTGGAAACGTCACCAGGCTTGGGGCCGGCCAAGGTGTGGGCTGTGGGACGGGCTCCCAGAATTCCCCTTGTCAGCTTGGCATCTGTGGTTTGTCTCGCGCACATCCTGGCAGCTGCTGCCCACTGGATGGGCCCCTGGGTCAAAGCTGAGGCCTGAAGTGATGGCTGCATTGTCACCTCCTAGTACACTCCTGGAGGAGGATGGAAAGGCCACCAGAAGGTTCTGGTTCCACCTCTGCAATGAACTGTGCAAACGTGGGCCAGTCACTCCTGGAGCCTCAGTTTCCTTACCTGGAGAGTGGGGATGAGCCGTGTACGTCCACCCCTCAGGGTGGCCAGAACGGTGATGTGAGCCAGCAGCGGGGCTAGTGGCTGGTCTCTACAGGTGGAGCCGGGGCTGCGCGGCCCTCATCCTCCCTCCTTTCTTCTCTTCCTCCCTTCCTTTCTCCCTCCTTCTCTTCTTTCCCTCCTCCCTCCCTCCTTCCACAAATATTTCTCAAGGGCCTGGCCCGTTCCAGGCACTCTGCTAGGTGTTGGGGACAGAGCAGTGAACGAGACAGAAGGGAACTTGCCACCTTGGGAGCTGATGGTCTTGGGGGAGGCTGTGGGGAGACAGACACCATACAAGTCAACAGCCACGAACAGTCCACCTGCCATTCATGGCCAGTGCTGCGCAGGTGTGAGCAGCGGGCTCTGACAGAGTGCGAGCAGGGAGCCGACACTGCGTGGGGGTCCTGAAGGGCTCACTGAGGAGGTGACATCCCTGAAGGCTTACAGAGAGACAGAGAGGTGTGAGCAGAGCTTTCCAAGGCTGAGGGAGCGTCTCCTTGCTCACAGGCAGAGCCTGGTGAAGGGCCCAAGGCGGAGGAAGGCATCCTTTTTCCCAGACAGAGGAACACGGTGGTTAAGGAGCCGGCCCTCTGCTTGGGTGCGGTCCAGCTCTGCTACTCATTATTTAACCTCAGTCTCCCCATCTGCAAAAGGGGATGATGACAGAGCCTACCTCTTAGAATTGTCCCCAAGCGGAGATGCGTGAGGCGTGACGTGCTTAGAACCTGGTACCCACGACTGTTGCTCTAGTCAGTGCAGCTCCCTCCTAGGCCTTTGCTGGGACGCTGGTGTGAGCATCTGGAAGGGGGCCTGGGCGGCATGTAAGAGGGAGTAGGAGCCAAGGGCTTGACGGCTGCAGGCAGGAATTTGGATTCACTCAACAAATGTGGCTTTTGGCTCAAAAATACTGCCTAATTGCAATGCTGCTTCTTCCAAAGGCAGTGAGCACTGTCAGAAGGAGCCGAGAGACTGGCTTTGCTGACCCTCCCTCGCCAGAGAGGGAGAAGTGGTTGGCCTACCCACATGGAGCCAGTGGCCATGGTGACCCAAACGTCAATGTCAGGCACTATATCCCAGCTGTTCTTGGCAGGGCCACGGTGGGCCATCTCCTGCTCCCCTGGTGGGATCGGACTCTGCAGCTGGCCCAGGCTCGTAGGGGAAGGTGGGGGGGTGGGGTGGAGGCCATGGGGATGCGTGTCTCCTCCAGGGGTCACACATGGGGGGGGGTCCCCATCTGACCTATCCAGGGGCTCAGAAAATCTCTCAAATAATGTCATGCTGGCAGCTGAGTCTGCCCACCATGTCTGGGTGCAAAGTCTGTGCGACTCCTGCCTCCACATCTGCTGGTGGTGGGCTGTTGGAGCCCAGGGGTGTCCCTTAAGGATGGGCATGGTGTCGGCACTGCTTAGTTCTCCCCTCGGAGCTTAAATGGCCAACAAGACCACAGATTCTACAGCCAGACTCTCTAAACCCCCCTACACACACACACCTCCCTTTCTCTTTGTTTGCCCCCATCTCAGAAGTTGCACCCCCATTCAGTCGGGTGCCCAGGCCCAAACCTGGCATTGCGTGTGAATCCTTCCTTTCCATCACCTTCTACCTGTAGTCCATGAGCAATTCGCACAGGCTCTAACCTTCAGTGTAAATCCAGAGTCTGGCCACCTCTCACCACCTCCCCTCCAGCCACCTCGGGCCGAGCCCCGTCCACTGGGCCTGCATTATCCCAGCAGCCTCCTGCCCTCTCCCTGATCCAGATAACCCTCCGCACGCTCCAGTCAAACTAACTGAGGCTGTCCTGCACTGTGTCCTGCAAGGCGGCCCGGCGCTGGGGGCCCCTGACCCCTCGGCCACCCCACTCGTCTGCATCGTCTGGCTTCAGTCCCTCTGAACTCCCTGCTGCTCCCTGAACAGGCGACTCTGTCCCCAGCTCCGTGCCTTTGCTCTGCTCTTCTCCTAGCTGCGTGCTGTGCTCTCTCCGGGACATGCACATGGCTGTCTCTCTCTGACTCGCTGCACTCAGGTCTATGCCAAGCATCGCCCTCCACTCACGGTTTCCATGGCGCTGACCCCCGCCTGCCTCTGCACTGGGGATGCTCAGGCTCCCGTGTGCCTGTCCCCAGAACTGGGCTCCCTGGGGCCAGAGTCCTGCCACCTTCTTCCTGCAGATTAGTCACTAGGGCCCAGAACAGCGCCAGGTGCTCATGGGGTAGCCGTGGAATAAACGCATGATTGAGGAGGATGCCTGAAGAGGAAGGCTCCTCAAACCCAGCCCAGCAGAGGGTCTGTTCTTGGAGTGGTTCATGCAGAGCTGGCCTGCAGGCTTGGGGCTGGCACTTGTTCCTGAGGCCCATTCCATACGGCGGACCTGTGCTAAGTGCTTTCCAAACCGATTCCTTCAGAGGTTCTCAAATCTCCGTTCATGGTGCCCTGAGGGTCTCAGTTAATTTTTCAGGACACTCTTGGGCCACAAGAAATACCTAATGGTTCTCTTCCTTAAAGGGTTAGGTCCAAGCAACTCGGTAAGTATTTAGGTCCCAACAACATAGTAGCTATTTGAAGTATAATATTTATGAGTCAAAGAAAAATAATATTTTCCTTTGATTCTTAAATAGCCATTGTTACTTTCCGATGAGCTGTGTGCCCTGTGGGCCCTGTGCGGCTTCTCCGACCTTGGAATCACATTGGACACCATCACCCTCATTTTATGTTCCATGTGGATTTTTGTGTGGTGCTTGCAAAACATTGCAAAACTCAGCTTCACAAAAATACGACATCCTTGAGAGGAGTGCAGCGTGATCTCGCGTTAGAGCTGGGAGCTGCCTCCAGCCAGCAGCTTGTACGGCCTCTGATGGATGTGGCTGGGTGTCCCTTGACTTCAGAAATTTAGCACATCCCTCCAGTGGCCCTGCGAATTCTTAGGGATGCTTGGGCACATAGTTTGGGGAGTGTGGGATTCCTTCATTGGATCCTCATAATGATCCTGTGAGGTAGGTGTGATTCCATTTTACATTCCAGAAGGAGAAGCCAAGACTCAGAGAAGCTAAGATACTGGCCTAAGGCCACACAGCTGGTTGGTGAGGGAATCAGGACTGACTAGGCTCCCTCACTCTCTGACAATCCCTTGGACAGTCAACTGGATCTCTTAAACTGTGCATCTTTGGGGTCCTGAGCACTTGTCGTCGCTCGCTTTACTGTCTAGAGCCACAGTCAGTCAGCCCCTTGGCCCCACCCCAAGTTCTGAGAGACAGAACGTGGACAGTGACGGCAGCCTGTTGTTTTCTCCCTCCAGGGGGCCCGCTGTGCTCCTGCTGCGTCCCGGACCCCATGGGGCTCTCCTTCCTCCCCACCTACGGCTGCCAGAGCAACCGCACAGCCAGTGTGGCCGCGCTGCGCATGAAGGCTCGCGAACACTCGGAGGCTGTCCTGCAGTCAGCCAACCTCCTGGGCTCCAGCAGCAGCAGCCCCAGCCCTGCAGCCAAGCCGGTGCCCCCCGACGGCAGCCAGGACAAGACGCCCCCAACCAAGGACCACAGCGAGGGGGAGAAGAGTGTATGAGGGTCCCGGGAGCCCACGCCAGGCACCCTCCCCGCCCCCTGCTTCTCCCAACCTCAGCCCCTGTGGAAAACTCTCCTAAGAGCAAGGAGAAGCTTGCAGCCCAGGGCCTCCTCGAGGACCCAGGAGGGGAAGGAAGATCGCAGCCCCCTCGGCATCTGGAGGGTGCCTCTGGAGTCCCGCCGGCGGGGCTGTGTTGTCCTGGCTTCTCTGGTGACAGGTCCCCAGGGTACTGAGAGCCCACCCTGTGGTGAGACCCCTGGGGTCTCCATCCAGGTCCAGAAGCACTGGAGGGAAGTGGAGCTGGTCATCAGCGCCTTCCTGTTCCTTTCCTGGGCCACCTTTGAAGGTCTCGTCAACCCCGAGAACTGTGGCACAGTCGTCCTTGGGAGATGCCCGGGGCTAAGTGTCATGCTCTGAAACGGGACCGTCCCCGTTACATTAAGAACCAGGAAACTGCTGTAACCCCGACCCCCTCTTGTTCCCCTCCACCAAGACGAGCAGCAACGCCCTCCTTTCTCCCACTGGAGGATGTTGGTTGGGCGCTCGGTTGGGTCTGAAGGTGAGAAGATGTCAGGTGGGAAGGGGCTGATGCCACACAGCCTGTTCTAGGGGTCCGTGGTGGCTCTGCCCCTGGCAGTTTCCACTGGGCACTTCCGGCCAGGGAGGCCGGGCCAATCAGGCAGGCCATCAGCTCCGTAACCTGGGGCCACCATCTTGACACTGCAGGCACAGAGCGAGTGTGAGCCCCCCAACAGCACTGGACTAGACTCCAGGTCGGTGGGCAGTTGACCAATCGGGAAGCAGTGTTCCGTCCCTCGGAGGAGGAAGGACCCCCAGGACCGCCTCTGACGCGAGGACGCGTCCGGATGAACTGATTTCCTAAGGTCCCTGGCACGTGGAGGGGCCCCCTCAGTGGTGGCTTTTTTTTTTTTTTTTTTACTGAAGAAATAGTGGGAAATGAGACGAGAATGGCATATGTGCAGAAATGGAGCTTGGGAAGAGGGCTTCCTTGGGGCGTGAAGAGGATTCATTCCAAAGGGCCAAATTTCATGGGGATTTCCGTTTCCGTCTAGCGTGTGTGTTTTCTCCCGTGTGGATGGTCAGCTTGAAGAGCTCAAAGGGGAAATGTGCAATAGTGTCAGCTGTGTCCCTCTGGCGGGGCGTCTACCGGAAAGGTTGCCATCTTTGATGGTTTCCTGATGGTGTTTCCATGCAAACCGTCACTGCTTTCAGGATATTTTCTGTTTGGTTATTATAATCAAAAGGTTCTCCCTTCAGATCACCTCTTTATCCTTTTTACCCTTTCCCCCAAGAAGACCCCCAGAATAATACTCCTCAGTGCATTGTGCCTCGTCTCTGATGACCGCAAAGCGTTGGCTAAAATACACTGTCTCTTTAAAAAAAAAAAAATCAGCTCCTTCCTCTTGCTGTATTTTGCTTGTTGAGTACAAAGATGATGCGACTTGCCAAAAAGCAGCGAAGTCGCTTCCACTTCTTCCCTGTAATTACGAATGTTCTGTGGAACGATGTAAGCTTCAGCCCTTATGTACACTAACTCTTCAATCTAATTGTTTGATTAAACTCGTATTTCCTCCAGAAAGGTACATAAATAAGTGAACTGTTGAGCAAATTAAGAATACTTAACAGCATTGCATCTGAAAAGTAGTTACGCTGATTAAATTTTGTGTCCTTGAGGACGTTCAGGAAATTACTTTTGATCGTCAATAACACAATTAAGTAAACTACACACACATTAGCATGAATAATTGATAAGAAATTATGTATTACCACGAAGCACTGATTTAATAATTCATGATGCGACACTCTAGTGACTGTGCAAAACTGGGTAACATCAAAAAGTCTGCCTCATGTTCCTGAAAGGAAAAAAAAAAAGAAGCACCAGACCTCTGCAGAGATGGAGTCCTTAGTTTTGTTGTACAAAGGCAAAAAGTAACCATGCATGATGTAGTTTCTGTTTGTTTAAATACCCAAATAAATTTAGAAGAGTTAAAAAGAAAGACAGAAAGAGCGCATCTCCTCTCTTTGTTCCTCGTGGCCCTTGGGCGCCAGGCCTGGGCCGGGGCGCTTCTCCGCTTTGGTCAGCGCGCAAATGGAAATGGTGGAGGGCTCTGAGATCTTGGTTCAGGAACCTTGTAGCCGATGCCAGGACAAGACAGGGCCTCTGTGCAGGCTGGTGCCCTCCCCGAGCTGCCGGCGCCCCCAGGACTCAGCCTTTTTGTCCTGGGACAGACAGAAGGATGGACGGATGCAGCCTCATTGGGGATGGCATCCTGCTAGGACCAGGAGCAGCAGTGGGGGTGGCAGGGAGTTGGAGGTGGGCAGCCCTGGCATAGGATACTGGGGGCTCAGAGGCCCCGGTCCCCATCCCGCGGTTGGCACTCTATTTAGGATACCCAGCGCTTGGCCTCTCAGTTGGGTAGAGAGACCTCCCTCAATAACTGGTCCCCATTTGTGAAGCCCCTGCCCCTGCTCACACCTGGGAACATGACAGAGGTTAGCTCAGTCAGGCCCAGCCATCAACCAGAGAGGTAAGTCTTACTCTCCCCATTTCACAGATAAGGAAACCGAGGCCCAGGAAGGTTGGACGACTTCTCCAAAGTTACACAGCTGGTAGCCTCCCATGGGAAGAGGGAGAGCTGGGCCTCATTGCCCGCCATATAGGGAGTGCTAAATAAGTGAATTAACGAGATTAACTGGGCTCGGTCTTAGGGGCCCAAGAGGGCAGTGGAGACCTACCCAGGGTCAGTGTGTCCTGGCAGGTCTGGCAGGTGGAGAGTTGGGGTAACTATGCTGTGCCTTTGCTCACTGTCTCTGGGCTCTGTCTTGGGCTGGCCTGTGGAGCAGAGGACGGGCCACCCCACCATCTGCCTCTCCTGAGTCCTGCCTGGCAGGGGCAGAGGTCGCCTGACCCCACTTTGTCCCTGGCCAGCACACCTGGCCTTTGCATCTGTGCCAACCTGTCCAAGGGCAGACCCAGCAGGGGTTCCCAATGTTGATGGTGCTCAGAGCTCCTGGGCCCCTCAAATGGCTTTTCCAGCAAGAAAGGGCCCTGGGAAGGGGCCAACCACTCCACATCATGGAAACTCGCTCTCCCTTCTTCTTAAAGTTTTGGCTTCACCAGGAAAAGTGACACTTTTTGAATTCAGAACCTGAGTGAAGTGATTAAGAGCTCATGCTACCTGTTCAAAATCCCACCTCTTCCAGGCTGTGTGACTCTGGGCAAGTCACTCAACCTCTCTGTGCTTCCATGCTGTCTTATGTAAAACGGGGACCATAATGGTACCAGCCTCATAGCGTTCTTTGAAGATTACATGAGTTGGTTGCTAACTGGCGCAGAGGAAGTGTGGTATGAATGCTAGCTCTGTTCTACCAAGCCTCGTACACGTCAAGGGCTTGAAGACGTTTTTCATGTGAAAACCTCCCGTTCTCAAGAAGGAAACAGGTGGGTTGGCTCTCAGAGCCTGCGGATGCGCCTTTCCCGGAAAGTCACGCCCTCCCACTTGCTCAGAAGGGGGATGTGGCAGTCCCCAATCCCTCCGCAGGCTCGTTGGTGGCTGAGAGCGTGGCATCTTGCCAGCTGAGTCTCCGGATGGGGACCTGTGGTGCTGGGAGGCAGGTGTAGGGGGCCGGGGCGGGGGAGAGGGAAAGAGGATGTCTTAGAAAAGCCTCTTTAGTTGCAAGTAATGGGAACTACTGAGGTCAGTTTTTTGTGAGAAGTATATGAGCTACGCCGTGGAGCTCAGGATGGCTGGGCCTCTAGCCCTGGGACTGTAGTGGGACAGGCACCCAGGGGCAGGGCTGTTGGTCCCTCCGTCCTTTCTGCTTCTCGCTGGCTGTCTGCTCTCTTCTTCCCCCTGCAGCTCTGCCCCTCTGCTGGGTCGCTCGCAGGTTCCCCAGGTGGAAGTTCACTGTAGTTTTGGAGTCCTTCCGGACCCTGGGAGAACGAATCTGCTTGGCCCACTTGGGCCGGGCTTTGGCGATGTGTTTGGATAGACCAGGATCTACCCCCTAACCCAGCAAGCAGGACACTTTAGAGAAGAGGGGCTGCTCCCTGCCTGGACTGTTAAGTTGCCTCTTTGTGAGACGCAAAGCAAGGCATCTCGGTGGGATCAGCATTGTCTGGTACCCTGGAAGCATCTCGTGTCTTCTCTTTGCACTCTGTTGGGTGGGCCAGAGGAGGCTGGGCCTCAGGGGTGAGCCTTCTCTGGCTGCTGCAATGTGCCCTCCGCTCTCAGGCCTCCAAGTCGGGAGGACAGCCCCTGCTGGGCAAAGCTGCTTCTTTCCCGAGCCCGGCTGTGGGCGGGAGACGGGCCGTTGCTCTTGAGTGTTCTTGCTTGGGACTTGGGCACTGCCCCTCCCTCCTGCCTCTGGTTCCCCCGACTCAGCTGGGTGCATCTGGGCTCCAGCACTGGGGCAGGAACCCGGAACTGTCAGACAGTGCTGGGGCTGCGGCCCGGATCAGCTGGGTGCCCCGGATGGCACAGCGTCTCTCTCCTGGGAGGCCTGTGCTGCTGGCAGGAGAGGGCTTTGCCAGCTGTTGAATGGCTGCAAAGCCGTGTCTGGGCTGCACGAGTGGGAGGACACTCATCAGGCTGGAGCAAAGGGTGCAGAGAGTGGGGCAGGCATAGGATGAAAGGACCCAAGCTGGGGGCCCACCGGGTCAAGGGCTGCCTGGGCTCTGCCAACGGGGCAGGCACTCCCAGGGAGCAAGTTCTCATGCCTCCCCTCGGCAGAGAGGAGTGGCCTTAGCCCTGGCCCTGGAGACCCTGCTTTGAGGCCGTTTGAGTTCCCCATACGTGATAACACCCCAGCAGGATGGCGCTGGTGTGAAGTGGGCAAAGTACCACAGGTCTGGCAATCAGAGCCCTCAGGTCAACCCTTTCTCTGACTCTGTTAGCTTTGTGACCTCGGGCGAGCTACATAACCCCTATGTGCCTCATTTCTTTATCTGTATAGGGGAAATAATAATCCCAATTTGGATGTCATAGGCTTGCTGTGAGATAAGGGAGATGCTGAGTCTGAAGCAGATTGTGATCAACTGTCAGGAGAACAAGGTCACTGGCAGCACGTTGAGACCACACTGTTGGAAGCTGCTGCCCGCTGCAGCAGCCCCGGCCTGGCCCAGTGCTGCCGAAGGGCAGAGAGGAGGCGCGCGGCCAGGAAGTGAATTGTGCAGACTCTCCCTCGGGCTTTGCAGGCCTTGGGCCCCTCCCCTTCCCGAGGTCTGGATGGGGCAGCGAGAGGGGCTAAGTGATTGTGTAATGGCCACATCTGTCAGCGCTGGCCAAATGGTTTTCCAGGAGTCAGCGCGCTAATGGCCCCGCAGCCGGGAGAGAGCTCTTCCTAAGTGGACCACTCCATCTACGGGAACAGAAGAGCGGCGTGGCCCCAGGCCGCCAGGACTCAGAGAACAGCTGCTCTGCCCGGCAGCCTTGAATTAGCACCCCGGTCCCACTGGCTTGCCTCGCACCTGCTGCCAGGGGCCGGTATGGCGGCACAGGAGCCCAAGTGGGGGTGTCGCCAGACCTGGCCTTCAAACCAGGACCTGTCCCGCCCACTGGCTGTAGGACCTCAGCAAGTCCCTTGCTGTCTCCAAGCCTCAGCTTCCTCATCTGTGAAATGGAGGCAAATGAGGATTAGGTGGGATGAGATGATCTGGGGTGCCGTGCTGGAACTCGGGGTTACGGTTGCAGAGGAGGGCCCAGAGCTCTCCCAGGTGCTGATCAGACTGATAGGGCGGAAGAGCCCTGTGGGCCCTGGAGACACACCCAAGGGTGGAAGGGATGCTGGGGCACCAGGCGTGCTGTGCAGACAGACTGTGTTTCCACCCTGGCTGCACCTGGGAAGCATGAGAGTCCTCTGTCCAGAGGTCGAACTGCATCCCATACCTGATAAAGTGGGGTCTGTCTGCAGGGAGCTACAAAACATCACGTATTCTCCAAACATTGGAAACGTCTTTTTATTTTGAAATACTTTTAGACTCATGTGAAACTTGCAAAAACAGTAGAGTTCCTGTCACTCAATTTCTCCTAAAGATAACGTTGACATAACCTGGTACAATGACCAAAACCAGGAAATTGACATTCATACAAGTCTATTAACGGAACTACAGACCTCACTGGATTTCACCAGTTTTTACACGTGTTAATTTTCTTGGGAGGGATATTGAAATCTCATCACGTATATATTTTCCTGTAACCGTATCACAATCGGGGGCTCTGTCAGATAACATACAGTGACACCTATGAGACAGAGGAAATTCATTTTTATTTATTTGTTTTTTATTGTGGTTAAATGTGTATAAAATTTATCATCTTAACTATTTTTAAGTGTACGGTTCAGCAGTGTTAAGTATATTCATATGTTCTTAACATATACTTGTACAAACAGTCTCCAGAAATTTTTCGTTTTGCACAACTGAAACTTTGTACCTATGGAACAACCACTCCCTCTTTCCCCCTCCTGCCAACCCCTGATAACCATCATTCCACTTTCTGCTTCTGTGAGTTTGACTACTCTCGGGACCTCATCTAAGTGGAATCATGCAGTATTTATCCTTGGTGACTGGCTTATTTCACTTAGCACTGTGTCCTCAAGGTTCATCTATATGGTAGCGCGTGTCAGAATTTCTTTCCTTTTTAAGGCTGAATAATATTCCATTGCATGCGTATACCACATTTTGTTTGTTCCCCTCCTCCATCAGTGGACACTTGGGTAGCTTCTACTTTTTGGCTACTGTGAATAAGGCTGCTATGAACATGGGTGTTCAAATATCTCTTTGAGACCCTTATTTCAATTCTTTGGGATATACACCCAGAAGTAGGATTGTTGGATGATACGGTAGTTCTAGTTTTAATTTTCTGAGGCGCCACCACATCATTTTCCACAATGGCCATACCATTTTACATTCCTGCTGACAGCGCACAGAGGTTCCAATGTCTCCACATCCTCACCAGCACTGGTTAGTTTGTTTCATTGATGGTGCCATCCT